CACCTTTTGCAAATCCCACTCTTCTTTTAAAACATAACTGTTTGCAAATATTATTTTTCAAGATTTGGCTATTTTGCCCTAAATATTTTCTAAGGTTTGTTTTATTTTTAAAGACACTGGCAACAGCAAAATACAATGCTTGATCTCCAGCTCAGCAATTTTCTTGCAGCTTCTATTTCGAATACTTTTATCTCTGAAGTTCTCTCTGACATTTGTTCTACATCGCGTTACATAGCTTGTCCTGTAAAATGAAGCAGGTCTATGTGATCAGTCCTAACGAAATGCTGTCCTTTCCTTTTCTGCAATTCCAGAAGCATGACTTTTTGAGAGACGCAGAAAAGCTGCTACTTCTTAAAAAAAAGTGTTTTCATCAAAACCCCTTTGATGATATTGTAGTTACTGTCCTTAGGAATTAACCCACCATAAAAAGACTATAAGCAAACCAATGGACAGCACCAACTATGGTTACTTACTTGGAGCAGACTGTGAAAGTAAGCCTTTCTTTCAAGACATATTTGGAGGGTGAAACATACCAACATTTTTTCTGCTAACTTGGAAATAAAGATCAAGTTAGCTAAATTTGGGAGAGCTTAAAGAATGTGGCATGCTTTGTGGTATTAAAATAACCAGATGAAGGCCTTCAATGAATTGCATAGGTCGGCTATAAAACATTTATGGAAGAAGTGAAGAATTGCTCAGAATAAAGTCATGGATGGGTTGCAATCTGAGATCCATGCCATGGGTGTAGGAATTAGCCACACTGAGGCTATCTATCACAAACTCACCAAACCACCATAAGAAAGAATACAAGAAAATTTTTTAAAGTACAAGAGTACAAAAAAAACCAAAACCTCTGGAGTCCCCCTTTTTAATCTACAATCATATGCCTCCTAGGTCTTCAAAACAGGATGAACACTCTTTGGAAAAATACATGAATTTCTGATATAGCCCAGTATATTCTCAGCTATCTGATCTTGGACAAGTCAGGGAGGTAATATACCATAATTCAGTGGCTCTCAAACTTTTTGTTCTTAGGACCCCTTTATACTTCTAAAAATTATTGAGGACCTCCTCCCCAAGAGCTGTTGCTTATATGGGTTAGAGTATCTATATTTACCATATCAGACATTAAAACATCTTAGTATTATTATGGAAATAGTTTTGACCTTAAAGACATGCCCCCTACAAAGGGCCTCAGGAATCACCAGGGGTCCTGAGATCACACTATAAAAACCAGTGGTATAGTGGATAGAGTTCTAGAATTAGAGTCAGGAAGACAAAGGCCTACAGGTCTCTGTTTTCTCATCAGTGAAATGAGGGGACTGGACTATATTGTCTCTAAGGTCCTTCTAAATCTATTATCTTATTAAGTCATTTCCCTTCTCTAGACCTCAAGTTTCTCACCTATAAAATGAGAAGGTTAAACTATATCATCTTGTGAAGTCCTTTCATCTCTTACGAGTCTATTATTTAGGAAAGCTAGGTGGATCAATGAATAGAGCACTGGCCCTGGAGTCAGGAGGACCTGAGTTCAAATCCAGCCTCAGACACATAACACTTATTAGCTGTGTGGCTCTGGGCAAGTCACTTAACCCTGATTGCCTCACACACAAAAAAAAGATTATTATTTAAAGGTTCTCTAATACAGTGGTATGCAAAGTGGGAACCAGGGACCAGGGATTGATTCCGAGGATACGTGAGCAACCAATCATCCGTTGGAAAAGATTAATTGAATCTCACCCTCCCACCAGAGACAGTCATGGGTCTTGTTTCCAACACAACCATCCCTTATCTTCCAATGTGCCCCCACTCTTCTCCCTCCCTTGACCTAGCTGGCAAGCTCCCAATCTTCACAATTCTGAGCTGGTATCCCATCAGAGCAGTTATAACCCCAGCACACCCTGGCACCTACAGCCACAACTGCATAGGTGCCACAGCATATCACCTTTCCTCTCTAAACTCCCAGATCACCCTGTGGCTATAGGACATCCAATAGGAGGGTGGGCTCTGTACTGTCCCATAAGAACCCTCCCCTCCCTCCATACACACATTTTTCATTTTAGATGGAGTAGCATAAGTCACAAAAGAGGAGCAGGCATGGATGGGCTGTGATCTGCATTAAAGATCTCATTATCTTATCCTTCCCCCTAGTCCATCCCTCTCCAAATTTCCCTATTTCTGTCAAGAGCACCACCATCCTTCCAGTTTCCCAGGTTTACAAAACCTCAGTGTCACCTTTGATTCAGCACCTTCCCTCACACTTCATATAAGTCATTTGCCAAATCTCTTCAGTTCTACTATCTCAACAACTCTCACATATTACCTTCTCTCTACTTATACAGCTCCCACTCTCATTCAGGTCTTCATAACACTTTTAGTGGACTACTGCAACAGCTTCCTAGTTATCCTCCCCTGCATCAAGTCTTTCCCCTCTCCAATCCATCCTCCACATGGTGATTTTCCTAAAGCATGGATTTGACTGCACTACTCCTCTATTTAAATAACTCCAGTGGTTCCTTATTGAAAATAGGATCAAATGTTATTTCATCGGTATCTCAGATTTTTTATTTTTATTTTTCTGTATGTTTTATAATGTATATAACATTAAGACAGCAATACATGTATAATCAGTAACTGTACACCTAGTTGGTGGGAGGGTCCATGATCAAAATTTTTTTTGTTGATGGAGGGCTTGAATAACAACAAAAAAAAGTTGGAGACTACTACTTTAATAATATACTATACTATAATACTCTAATAACTGAATTGGGTTTGGTGAGTTTTCTCAAGTCAATTTAGTTCAATAAAAAAGGTATCCACTCCATACAAAGCACTGTGCTAAATCCTAGGGGAGATACAGTAATAAAAAGTCCAAGATCCTCACCTTCAAGGAACTCAATTATGTCTAGTATATCTACTCCTCCTATGTCATTCTATGTCCCCTGCAGAACTCCTCTACATCTCTGGTCTCTCATCTGCAAAACCAACCCAATAATGTATTACCCATCCTCACAGGGATATTACATGAAATTATTCAGAGGTACTGGGAAAATCCAGCACTATACCTATGGCACAGTAGTTTTTCAATCAATATTTTTGAATGAATTGAAGAAATATTCAAAACAATTTCAAATATTTTATTTTAACTAGAATTTTAGTGGTCAAAAAAATGTGAGATTTGTTTCTGCAGAGACCATTCAAGGTGAATTCCCTCACTCTGAAAACAACCACCATCACCCCTGCCTACTCCACCCTGAAAACAAACAAACAAACTGGCTGCATGAGAATCTAGAAAAGATTCCTCCTGCCCCATTGTTCCTCTTCCTGTATCTCAGAATAAATGGTAAATTTCTCAACCAAAGGGTTTAGAAATAGAAACTGGACCTGTGCTTTTACTGCTGTAGGAAATTCCTGGATAAGAAAATTATCTCTACCACTGCAAATCAGCAACTATAGAGTTACCTAGACTCTAGGTTCTAGAACACTGGACCATTAGGTGACTTGCTCAGGGTCACATAGCCAACAGGTATCAGAGTCAAATATTGAACCCCAAACTTCCAGACTTGTAGTCTGGCCTCTGTATCCACTAAGCCAGAGTGCCTCTCTGGTCAACTAAAATCATGCTTATATTCTATTTCTATATTTGTAAAGGGGGTGTGTGGGTGGAGAGGAGAGGCATAGATTTCCAAATACCACTGGAGAAAAGTGCTCAAAAACCAACATGTTTATCACATCAGCTTTCTTCTCTGAATCTTTCTTCAAAAAGTTTGATCAGCTTACTGAAGACTTGAGTCTGGGCTGCCTAAAACCAAAGTAGAAAAATTAGAAACTTTCAGTTTAATTCCTTTTCATCTCCTTTTAATCCCATCACAAGTATTCATTGTTTGGTACTGAGAATTCAGCCAAGAAATTTGCCTATGCGACTCAGATAATCAACCTTTGTTCTTTGGCATGGATGTTCACAATCATAGTAGAAAAATTCTGGACAGTAAAATTAATCAGCTATAATCCCAAGACCCAAGAGGGGTAAAGTGCAAAAACTGTTTTCCAGTAACTTTCTGGAACCATAGATAATAGTATTCCTAGAAAGGTACAAAATAAAACTATTAAAAACTATCACCCAGAATTTATAAGGGAATTCTCCCCCACCCCCTAACGCTACCTCCACCCAGGCAGTACAAGGAATTCTCTCACACTGAATACTTTTTAGATTATCTCAGTTTCTAAGAAAGTGAAAAATGGCTTCAGTCTACACTGACAGAACACACATTTATCCTCACATTTATCCTTAATTAGTCACAACAGATCAAACGTTAGCATGGCAAACTGTCACACACCACGACTGACCAGAAAGCAACCTACAAAGCGTTTTTTCAGTTTTGCCCAAGATGAACCAGGCTTTTCAGCTCTACAGAACCACTGGCGGTGGCTATGCACTTGCAGGGACACAGACTTCCAGCCACCAGTCATATTAAGAAGGAAACTAAACTTTCCCAGATTCGTTAGCTCGTCTCTTCTAACCACGTGAAATCCAACAGGTGCCTTCACGTGTCATCGGATGGAACTCTTCCAGCCCAGACACTGAGAGAAGCTGCGAATCTTAATCAGTGACACTAACAATGACCACTGAGCCCTACCAAGCGCTTGAAGAAAGCCCCCCAAATTACAAGTTAAGAGGAGGCCCTACCACCACCCTCATTTTCAGTTCACCAGGGAGAGAGGGGATGAATTGCCCAGATTGAGTTTTTATATTTTTTATTTTTTCGAGGGTGGCCCTGGCAAATATCCCTGGCTCTTTACGACAGCATCACACTACCCTTGGGCGGTTGAGGTTCGCCCTCCTAAGGAGTCCTACTGCCTGAACTCAGCTTCTGGGCTGCGCACACCTCTAAGGAGAGCACTACCCCGGCGCCCCCAGCACCCCAAAAACAAGACGCGGGCTCGAGGCGGGAGGACATTGAGGAAAGGAAAAGAGCTGGGTTCTGGAGAGAGGAGCCTACCTGCTTGTCCAGGGCGTCCTTGCCAGCAGCGGCCCCAGACGCCGCCTTGGGCGGGGCGGGAGCCCGCTCGCAGCTGCAGCCCTCCAGCAGGTACATGCCGGCGGGCCGGACGCTCTGCTCGCCCTCGAAGTAGAAGAGCACATTCTGGTAGAGGGCGAACCACTTCTCGTGCCAGCGGCTCGCCTCGGCCGCCTTCTTGCTCAGGAAGCCGCGCTTCGTGCCCTCCTTGCGGGCCAGGAAGGCCAGGTACAGGGCGTGCCCCTCGTTGTACCGCACGCTCTTCTGCATGGCGAGGGGGGCTTGGACCCGTTGGTGGCTTGGGGGGCTCGAGTCCTTGGGGGGCCCCTAGCTCGGGACGCCCCCCGGCATCGCTGTGCTAGCTCCCCCACTCCACCCCCGAGGGGACGGCCCCGAGCCGCTTTCTGCTTTCCCGCGGTGGGGTGCAGTGCGGCCGAGGGCTCCTCTGTGCCTCCCCGGGGGGCCGGGAGCCCCTCAGCCTCCGCGAGGCGGCTTGGCTCTGGGGGGATGGCCGCTGCCCTGGCCTCCCCTCGGGCACTGGAGTCAGAGGGGGTCGCCCACTCTCTCTGCTGCTGCTGCTGCTGCTGCTGCAGCCACGGCTTCAGTCCCGGGGCTAGGCGAGAGGGACCTCTGGGCTCCCCGGGAGGCTGGGCTGTCTGTGGCCAGAGCCTCCCACTGGCTCCGCCCGGCCCTCCCCGCTGCCGTCCTCCCACCCCACCCCCCTCAAAAAAAAAAAAAAGTTCGTGCCCCAAACAGCGGTGGGGTCTAGCTGGGGAGACGCGCCGCAGCCCAAGGAGGATTGTCCGCGAGCAATTCGCTCTGGGGGAGACAGAAGGTAAAAGCGTCACGTGGGAGATCAGCTGTAATCGGCTTTGAGACCAATTTAAAGAGCAAAGTCGGCGGGGCTGCGAAGCCCTCGCTCTGTCCAGTGCAGTCCAGTCCCCTCCTCTCTCTCGGACTGCGCTGGCGCTACCTCTGCTCAGGGTTTATCCTCCTGCCTGCTCATCAGGAAGGGGGAGAATTAAAGGAAAGCGCGCGCGATCACACACACACACACACACACACACACACTCACGTGCGTTTCCATAGCAGTGGGGTGGAGTCACCTCTCCCCAAAATATTGTATATAATTTGCATAAAGTGAAAGTCCCCCTCCTCCTTTCTTTCCTTTTGTCACCTGTATTTTAACTGGCATGATAGAGGTGAACAAGTTCAAGCAGCAATCACTTGGGTGATTATCATTTATTTCATCTGTTAGACTTCGATTCATGGGATTTTAAAAGTGTGTTGAGTTTAGAAATTAGAAAGTCTTTTGAATATCTCTAATATCCAAATTTTCCTACATCTATAGGATATGGTGAGTTTAGACTGCTTTCCCTAATAATCTCCCTAGAGGCCACCCTAGGACATGGACTGTTTCGCTCAGATTGCTTTCATGTTACTATAACTCATTTGGCTGAGAAAGATTGTATGGGTGGCCAGAAGGACAAGGGACCGAGTGCTATAAAATCTAAATGGGAAAAGGGGGGGGGGGGGGAGAGAGAGAGAGAGAAAGCTGTTGAATAGCCACTATGTCTCTAGGATTTGATTCCATGATGTACATTGAAACATTTTTACTATGTCAGTTATCAGAAAAAAACAAAGCTTACCACGACATAAAATGTTAATAAAAGGACATAAAATGTCCCCCCCCAATGAAATACAGTCATGTCCTTACAGTTTTTATATTTACAGAATTCAGCAGCCTGGGGTTTGTCCTCTTATTTCTATTACTGCAGATTCTCTCACAGAATCCTGCAGCAGTCTTATCTCCCAGTCTCTTGGAGTGGTTTGCCGTTTTACTTACAGATGACTTTTATTTTATATTTAAAATTTTTTAAAGCACATCATACTGGGAAAATTATTTTGAAATGACAGTGTAAGAGCAAAGACAACCACTCCTCTTCAATTTCACCACCAATATCTGTTAATCAGCCAAAGAAGACATCCCATTGTTGGCTTTTAGCTACCTCGGGAAGAAAGCTTAGACCTTTTAGTTAAGGCCAGACAGGGGCACGCAAATTTGTGCAAAGAGGAACTCAATCTGCTCTAGATGAAGGGAGGACCACACCAATGACATTATAGATCCGTTGAAGTATATAAATTAGTCATGTTGATTAAATGGCAAACTCCTTTCCCTGATATATATGTATACATATACATATATATATATATATATATATAATGTTCTGTGTCTCCTACCCCTTACTTAACACAATTAATTCCCAGTAAATATCAGTAAAGATGGTGGAAGACATCCATCAGATGGGGAAAACTGACCAGTATGTAAATTCAATACTTTTTAATGAGTTTTGTAACTTTGAATAAATTTCTGTAATGAGAATGAAAGTAAGATTCTAATCGCTTTTATTCATTAGAAACTGAGTCTGCATACTACCAATATGAAATTTTTTTTGTTGAGGCTAATTTCTGTGATAAGCAATTGCTTTTTCTAATATATAAATTTCCTAACATAATGTCAATAGAGTGTTACTGTTCTTCTTGCCTGGTAACATTCTGGTTTTACTACCTTATAGGACTGTAGTATGTTTCTGTAATGCTAAGTACTGTATGTGATACATTTTGCTGGAATAGTTGATAAAGGACTTTCAATGGCCAGGGTGCTAGATTTAGAATCAGAGAATTTCATTTCAAATTCTAGCTATGCCATTTAACACCTATGTGACCTTGGACTAATGACTTCCCCTCCCTCGGACTCATTTTCCTCATCTGTAGAATGAGTAGGAAATAAAGATTAACACTGAGGTTCCCTCCAGCTTTACATATATGATTCGCATTTAGTCTTCAATGTGAATGGTCAACGTTTTGGAAAAAGAGTGCTTAGAAAATTGTTTCATTGCTATGTGTTTACTTTGGTAGATTATAGGCAATGTTCAGGCAGCGTTGATAAGTGCTTTATGGATAAATGAGTTAATCTTTAGCTACTGGAGAGTGGGAAAGATAGGACTGCAAATAAGTAGTTATGAGATATTCTGACTTCAGCTGGAAGATAGGCACAAATGAGCAGAGATTCAGACAGTGGCTTATGGAAGGAGGGAATTTCACAGTAAACATAGACTCATAGAGCTAGAACTTTAGATCATCTAGTCCCAATCCTTCATTTGTTATAGGTGAGGAAAATGGGTCCCAGGGAGGAAAGATGACTTGCCTAAAGTCATTCAGTTGTCAGGGGCAGAGCCAGGACTATATAGCCTCTCAGGAATGATTGCTTATAGGGTGCTAGTCTTTTCTGGACTCATTTGTTCATGTGGCAGGCAGGATCACTGGGACTATTATTTTTCAACAAAAGAAATAGTGATATTTTGTGAATTATGTTTTTATTCTGATTGATGAGATTGGAGTTAGAAGACCTGTATCTGACTGCTGGTGCTGGGATATATTAATTATGTGAACTTGGCCATGGGGGAGCTTTTCCCATCTCTAGATTTCAGGATCCTATACTGGAAAATGAAGGGGTTGGACTAGAAGACCTCCCAGGGCCCTTCTAGCTCTAATAGTCTATAAAACCTACCATCATTGAGTAGGGACCTACCGCCCTCCATATTTACTGGTCACTTCTCATTTTCACGTATTCTGAGGGCAAAGTATATAACATAGTTTGTTCAGCTCTAAAGGCAGGGATATATTGTCTTTGAAGCCATGGGCCTGTGGTCTAATAATTATTACCAAAGAAAAACCCAAAACTAAAATGTATATGATGCCAAGGTTTGCAAAACAGTATATGTGTATGTATGTATGCATGTATGTATGTGTACATATATATATATAAAATATGTATAAAATCTTATCTCATCTTCACATCCCTGTGAGGTAGGTTTTATGATTATCCTCATTTTACTAACGAGGAAACTGAGGGAAACAAGGTTAACTGACTTGCCTAGGGTTATAGCCAGTAAGTATCTGAGGGAGGATTTGAACTCAGTTCCTCCTAATTCTATGACCAGTACTCTATCTACCACACTATCTATCTCTTCTTTCTGTACTTTTTTAGTTAAGGAAAGAAGAAAGTGATGCCTGGGAGCTCTGAAAATTGATTCATAATCTCAGGATTATGTATAACCTATTTCACAGACGCAGGTTCATTATGTCTGCATTAGCGAGATAAAAGAGAAACTATCCAGATAATGTGACACAAAAAGAGGATTTTATTTGAAAAAGCCTGGTAATTAGCAAGGGTACATTTTTCTACAAGTGGAAACAAGAACAGTTAATATTTATATTACACTTTAAGGTTTGCAAAGTGATCTGCATATGTTATTTCATTTGGCACTTAGAACAACCTTGTGAGGTATAGTATTATCCCCATTTTACAGATGAGGAAACTAAGGCTGAAAAAAGTTTATATGACTTACCCATGGAAACACATCTAGGTGGCAGTGTCATGACCCTGGGAAAGTCACATGACCTTGCTTGCCTCAGTTTCCTTATCTGCAAAATGAGCTGGAGAAGGAAATGCAAACCACTCCAGTATCTTTGCCAAGAAAACCCCAAATGGGGTCACAGAGAGTCAGGCATGACTGAACAGCAACAAATTAAGGTTTGCAAAGTGATTTTACATGTTACTTCTTTTGGTACTCACAATAACCTTGTGAGGTATGTTATTATACCCCATTTTACAGATAAGGAAACAAAGGCTGAAAGAGTTTATATGACTTGCCCAGGGACACACATCTAAGTCATCCTGACTCCATATCTTAGCACTGTGATGCCTAGCACTTAATCCCAGGGTTCATATCTGATTGCTTGATAATTTTGTCACTCTCATTCCTGTTCATGGGATTCCTTCACCTTGGTAATACTGGCTCAGCTTTTTGAAGTCCTACCATCCACCTTCTTGAATTGGTGAGGTAGTCCATCTCAAATGCTGCCTCTTCTACAAAACCTTCCCTAATCCCCTGTGTTAGTTCATTTTTAAAACAAAATTGAAACTCTTTGCCCTTAAACTTCATATCACAGTTTCTAATGTAATCAAAATTTTCTGTGTTGGTGCTGTAATGTTACTGCTAAAATGTTAAGTCAGATGAGGGCAACGAGCACTTCTTATCTAGACTTATCTCCCCCAGCACCTAACACAACTTCCATCATACAGTAGTTATCTAATAACCACTTGATGAAAGAATGAATACATTTTCCATTTCATTTTGCAAGTGCAGATGTAACCTCTGTCAAAATCTCTAACTTACACATTATCTTTCAGACACAGAAGACAG